AATACTTCTGTTGTAAGATCATTGGGTTCTGGTGTTTTCATGTTGTTTTTCGGATTATTGGGTGAATTCTTGCCTTGGCGCCTGCCCATCTCCTCCTATTGATCCTATCCAATGGGTCCTTTAAAAACCGGATCAGGTTTCCCTGCTGGCCAAGGACTCCGCTTACAAAATGCCCTCACTCTCTTTCGTGGTTCCTGCTGCAGGCCAAGAACCCTCTCACCCCTCCGAAGGATCTTCAGGACAGGACCAGGCTCCCCTTGTGCCAGTGACCTGGCCAACCAAAGGCCTACCTCTTTGATTCAATTGTAGTAGGGCGATCTGCTCTCCTTATTGCATGCCTGTCCCCGCTGCTTGGGTCTGCCGCTGCGCCGGTCCCTGGTCCCCGAACGCCTCTTCCTGTATGCGGTGTTGCTCCGCCGCGTCTGGGTGCCGCCATCTGGCTGCGCCGCCGCCGCTCCGCCTCTGTGCGTCTGTTGTTGAGGATTTTTGCGTCGATGTTCATGAGTGAGATTGGCCTGTAATTCTCTTTCCTGGTTGAGTCTTTGTGTGGTTTTGCTATCAGAGTAACTGTAGCTTCATAAAAGGAATTAGGTAATGACCCTTCTGTTTCTATATTGTGGAATACATTAAGGAGTATAGGTATTAGCTCTTCTTGGAAGTTCTGGTAGAATTCCGCATTGAAACCATCTGGTCCTGGGCTTTTGGCTAAGGGAAGTAGACAAAATTGCCAGGGAGAAAATTGGGATCTTGGGGGTGGGGTGGGATGGGGGTAAGGGGAGATGGGGAGAGAAAAGTTAGAAGGGAAGGAGGTCGGGCCTTGGGAAAACAGGAGGATTGGGATAAAGGAAGGTTGGACAGGGGAGCACGGAACCACAATTCTTAGTTAAGGGAGCCACTTTAGGGTTGGCAAGAGACCTGACCCTAGAGGGGCTCCCAGGTGCCCAAGCTGAGGTCCCCAGTTAGTTCCTTGGGCAGTTGAGGATAGGGAACCTGAAATGACCCTATCCTAGAGCAATACTGATGAATACCTTGCATATCATCATAGAACCTTCATCTGGTGATGGATGGAGATAGAGACAGAGACCCACACTGGAGCACTGGATTGAGCTCCCAAGGTCCCAATGAGGAGCAGAAGGAGGGAGAACATGAGCAAAGAAGTTGGGACCACGAGGGATGCACCCACCCACTGAGACAGTGGAGCTGATCTATTGAGAGCTCACCAAGACCAGCTGGACTGTGACTGAAAAAGCATGGGATAAAACTGGACTCTCTGAACATGGCGAACAATGAGGGCTGATGAGACGCAAAGGACAATGGCACGGGGGTTTGATCCTAAGTAATGTGATAGCTTTGTGGGAGCCTAGCCAGTTTCGATGTTCACCTTCCTAGATATGGACGGAAGTGGGAGGTCCTAGGTCTTACCACAGGGCAGAAAACCCTGACTGCTCTTTGGACTGGAGAGGGAGGGGCAATGGAGTGGGGGGAGGGGGAGAAAGGTGGGAGGAGGGGGCATAGGGTGGGAGGACGGGGAGGGAAATGGGAGGCTGGGAGGAGGTGGAAACTTGTTTTTTTTTCTTTTTTCTCCTTTTCTCAATAAAAAAAAAAACCCAAAAAAAAAAGAAAGAAAACTCCATACAATGGTGGTTCTTTATGCTCATCATCCTTTTTTGAAGTAGATTGGTGCTATCAGAAGCAGATGTGTCTCTCTGTCATGAAAAGCCTTGGTTATTAAACATATTAAATGGATTATTCTGTAGGTCTTTCCAGTGTTTAAATATCATCTATCTAAATATATCTGTGTATGACCTTGAAAACATACCTAACACGACTACAAGTTTGACTGTTACAGATGACTATTAATCTGTGTTTTTAATTATACATTATATTTTAAATGAACTGCATGAATACAATATGCACAAAAAAAGTAGAACACACATACAGCATAAGAAAATTAACTTTAAATTTGTATCAATATCATGACTGGGAAACCCACAGAGACTGCTGTCTTGAGTTTGTAGGTGCTCATAGATTCTAGACCAATAACTAGGGATTCTGTATGAAACTGACCTAGAGCCTCAGCTTGTGAATGACACTTGTGTAGCTTGGTCTGTTTAGGTTCGCAAGGAGTGGAACAAGGATCTGCCCTGATGCATGTGCTGGATTTTTGAAATCTATTCTTTATAGTAAGATGCATTGCTCAACCTTGATGTGGGGGGTAAGAGCTTGGTCCTGCTTAAACTTCATATACCATGTTTTGTTGACTTCCATGGGAGGCCTTACCCTTTCTGAGGAATGCATGGGGGGGGGGGGTAGAAAGGAGATGAGGGGAGAGAATAGGAGGAGAGGAAGAGGGACAAACTGTGGTTGGTATATAAAATAAATTTTAAAATATAATAAAATAAATTGAACCACTAAACCAAAATCCATAACAATGTAAAATGTTTTGAGAATAATGGCTGTTTTTTTAATTAACTACCCTTGTAATTATCCATTATAGATTTATTGATGTTTAGTTCATATACTGTATATTTTTCTTGTATAGATTTGACAATCAAATGGTTCTTAAAATACTTTTAGAAGTATTTTATCCTAAAACTATCTAATCCTAAAACATTTACCTATCTCACTCCCCTACTCCCTCCCAAAATCTGATCCCATTTAACAGTTCCCTGTTTCCCTTCCAAACAGCATTTTGTCAGCCATTAATCTATTTTATCTCTGTATAAACTTGCCATATATTTTTTAAAATGTCTGGACTTCAAAATGAATATATAGGTTGGTTTAATCCAGCAGTTTTTATAATCCATTGTGTTTTAGCAGCTGCTGTAACTTCATTACCAATCACAAAATATAAAGACAACACACAATACCATACAGAATCCAGACTCTTGATTTTCCATTTTTACCTGGCTTGTTATATTTTTATTACTCAATTCCTTTTTAAAAGAACTTTATTATTTTTAAATTAGCTTTTCTTCTATGACTGCCTCTACTCTTTATTTTTCCTCTCCCAAGCCTATGTATATTTTTTAAACACACTGTATCCCATTTAGTGGTTTATTATTTATCTGCATCTGTCTTTACTGAGCATCTGTACTATTTTTTTTTATTTCATTAGCTGAATCTCAAACTGCTATGTCAGCCACTGTCAGTGTAGCTTAGTTTCGTGAATGGTGATAGTGTATGGTGGCTGGTTCCTCCCACAAGCAGCTGCTGGGAGATGTATCTGATCTCCTTACTGCAGCTGGCGAGACATGAGACTAGGAAGTCAAGATTGGATCCACTTTTTGTGCTTATAATCTTTTTATTTATTTTATTTACTTAAGCTTTCTTTATTCCTGTGAGGATGTAGATGCCAGACATTTGAGTGTCATTTATAGGCTAATTTTTCCTGTCCTAGCAGTCAGTTCCCAAATAACAAAAAGAGTCTTATTATTAATTAGAAATGCCTGGTCGATATTTCAGGTATTGTTATCTCTTAAAACTTAAATAAGCCCATTTCTATTAATCTATGTCCTGCCATGAGGCATGTGGCTTTTACTGCTCCAGCATGTCCTTACTTCCTTTCCTTCTGGCTGGCAACTCATCTAACTCCCATGACTCCATCCTTCTTTGTCCCAGTATCCTCTGAGTCTTATTTTAGCACCTAACCTCCTTCTGCCCAGATATAGACCAGTCAGCTCTATTAGCCAATGAGAGTAATGTAATACACATTCATAGTGTACAAAAATATTCTTCAATTCATCACAATTGTAAACATCCATTGCATTGATGATATCAAGAGTATGCTGTTGGTGGAGGTTTCTGTCCTGCCAGGTTCCAAAATAAACACACAGAAACTGTATTATTTGCAATACTATTTAGCCAATAGCTTAAGTGTATTTCTAACTGACTCTTATATCTTAAATTAATTCACTTCTATTAGTTTATATTTTACCACGAGGCTTGTGGCGTACCAGCAAGGTTCCAACTGGCAGTTCACATCTTTCTCCTCTGGCGTCTACATGGCATCGTACTGACTCTGCCTTCTTTCTCCCAGCATTCAGTTTATTTTCCTCACCTAGTTCTACTCTACTCTATCACAGGCCAAGCCATCTTTATTCATTAACCAAGAAAAGCAGCACATTAAAAAAAAAAGGACTTCCCACATAAGTACGCAAAGATGAGGGTAAAGGGAACTCTCCAACGGTGTAGAGAAAGAAAGTTGATACAAGCTATTTGGAAAATGCTGGAAGTTTCTTGTGAAATGAAATTGCACTTAACATGAGAAGTTTCATATCAGAGTTCTAGACTTTTTACTAAAAAATAAAATATATCTTCATACAATGACTTACACACAAATTTACATGACAACTTTATTCATAATTGTTAAAACAGATGGTAAAAGGACACCATCTGTTCACATGTGACTGGAGAAATAAGGTAATTTCTATAAAATAAAAGTGCTTTTTAACAAAAACATTTGAACCACTGATCTGTGAAAAAGACAGGAGTTAGCTAAAATGATGATGATGATATATAATATATAATAATAATGGTAACAATCAAAGAAAATTGAGCCAAATACAAATCTTTACATAATAAATGACACTCAGGACTATGCCACACTAACTGACAGTACAAAAGAGCATATTTCTGCTTGTCTGTTGCCAACTTGCGGGTGGCAAGATGCAGAAAAGAACATTGGGAGGTACAAACTAGACCTGTTATGGTTTGATGGTTCTCTTAGAGTTTCTATTGCTGTGATAAAACAATATGACCAAGACAACTTGAGGAGAAAGGGGATTATTTTGTTTACATTTCTACATCACAGTCCATCAGTGAAGGAAGTCAGAACAGGCACTAAAACCTGGCAGGATCCTACAAGTCAGAGCTGATACAGGTCATTGAGCAGTGCATCTTTCTGGGAGTTCCTCATGGCTTGCTCAGACTGCTTTCTTATAGAACCCAGGACCATATACCAATAGTTAGTCATACCCACAATGGGCTGGGCTCTCACACAGTAATCACTAATGCCCTGTAGCTTACGTATAAGCAGAACTTATGCAAGCACTTTCTCAATTGAGGTTCCCAATTCTCAGATAACTCAAGTTTGTGTTAAGATGATATGAGACTATTCTTCACAATGGTGGTAGAAGACATGTACATATTTGATAAAACTCATATTTCTCATGACTTACAGTGGGGACATTATATTACACACACACACTCCAACACCAGTATTTTATGTTTTTAATACCAAAGAAAAAATCTCATGAGTCAATAATCACTTCAGAAGTGAATGACATTAGAAATAAACGCACTGCATGGTCCAGACCATGAGAAAATATCAACAGTGGCATCACCCAGAAGACTGACAAATATGAAGATGGATTATAGATTAGAACATATAACTTTATCAATACTAATATTTATTGCTTCAGAATGATGTTTTAAAATAATTTATTTATCATTAGAACATATTTAAGGACAGTTTAGTATTATTATTATCATCACCGTAATTATTAGGCTTCATGAGACAGAATCTCACTCTATAGCCCACAATATTCAAAAACTTCACTATGTAGTTTACTCTCTTCAAACTGTTGTACCTGTAAGATTATACATCTGAGACATCATATCAAGCTGGCCTCAATGAATATTACCATGTCTATAGGGTTTCTACTTATCATCAAACAGATCAGAGAAAGAACATTTGGACTATGGTACGGGTTCATTAAACTAGTTTGAAACTATTCATCTAGTAAGTCTGAAATTATAATTTACAGAAAATAAATGCTTTTTAAAGATAAATTCTTCCACCTGCAAAAAAGTATCAAACAGTAATCAGCTAACTAGCAAGCAAACAGAAACACACAACTGCATTTTACTTCTTCATTGTTATGTCAAAGTCACGGATACAGAGATGATTTAACCTAGAGATAATAAGATATGTGTGCCATTTATCAATGTTCTATATTTGGTTCCATGTGTCATTCAGCAAACAAAGAGTGATTCCTCAGGGCCTAGGATCAGAGAGCATCAGTACTGTTGAAATAAGCTGCTCTTTTTATCAGGAAGGAAGATGGCTTCTGCTTTGTTAAGTCAGAGTTTGGAAAGTCATCTTCCCTTTCCAGCTCCTCACTTGGTTTATGCAGTCAAGTGAGACCTGTGAATGAAACATTCAGGTGTTAACTAGTCTGAAATCATCAGAGGAAACAAACACAGATGGCAACATTCCATTTTTACCTTTTCTTTGCTTACACATTTCTGCTCTTTTTTCACATATACAGCCAAGGCGTTTATCACAATCATAATCTTGTATGCCTGTTAAGCTGAGAAATGCACAGCCTCCTGTGGCACGTCCTAATTTTATTACTGTCAAATCACTATAAAACAAAAAAGATGATGGGCAGTTATTTACAAATGAAGCTTACAGTAATGAAGACCATGGTTATTAAAAAAAGTTTATTAACTAAAATACACAGAATATGAAATGAAAAATAAGAGTATCACTAAGGGTTTTTCACTTTCTCCAAAGTCATAAAAAATGGTTTTGAGCCAATGACATGACTCAGTGCAATAAGGTCACTATCACCAAACCTGATAACCTGAGTGCAAACCTCAGATGCCACACAGGAGAAAGAAAGAAGTAACTCCTTCAACTATATTCTTACTCCATTTGTCCTGTGGGATATTTGCACACACATGTGCACACATTAACAAAAAATAAATGAACAGAAACAAATAAAACTTTGACATGGTCTCTTGATCACAACACAACTCCTCATCTATTTCATATTGCTAATTTTTTATCTGCAAGTAAAATACAATTCATTATTACTAGGAGATAAATTTATTTTATTTTTTATTTCTTTTTCATTTCACATAGCAACCACAGTTCCCCCTCCCCTGCTTCCTGCTTTCCCCACCTCCATTCACTCTGTCAGAAAGCATAAGGCCTCCCTTGGGAAGTGATTAAAGCTTAAGGTTAAGACCAAGGTCCTCCCACCCCTGCATCAAGCCTGAGCAAGGAATCCCACCATAAAGAATGGACTCCAAAAATTCAGCTCATGCATCAGGGATAAACTATAGTGTAGGAGATATTTTTAAACTATGTTTCCCTGTGATACTTTTTGCAACAAACATAGAAAAAAAGAAGTAAATGTGTGGCACAGAGTGCAATGTACCAGTGGCCATATCAGGGGAACAGCAGGTGGCAGTTGAAAGTCAAAGTGTCCCACCAGAAGGGAACTCTCTGATAGGTCATTCTTAGCTAGGCAAGGCCCCAGGACCACAGACCCCAGAATGTCTTTTGCTTTTGCTGTGCCTTTACATATTTGCTGATGTTATCTTTCTTTGGTATCTGGCATGGTGTGAAAAAATGTGGGGAGACCCCCACTGCCTGAAATATAGTGTGTTTATCTCATGGAAATTTCCCACTCTTCTAGAGTATCTCTGGATTGTCATGAGAATGATTCCTCCCTAAATTGTACTGTCAAATTGATAACAATAATGTTAGTTTATACAGAGTTTTGATGAATAAAAATAAATACAAGTAAGTGTCACACAGCTAGGACACAAGAGTTTCTATTGAGGAGCTCTACAGCCTGTGGCTTAACTTAGTGATTAATGAAAACAACTGAATCCCTGTTAGCTTAGCTAGCTTGAATTCTTTTACCCTTAATGTTGGGAGATGTGCTCACAGGTTTCAGAGTGCATTACAGTTGAAACAAAGCTTTGAAAATAAAGAAAATAATGTTTTCATCAGATAGCTTTAAAGTGAAAAACCCAAGAAGATAATCTAAAGTTTTAGAATGTGTGAAACATTAAGGTCAGGAAACAAGAACAAAGCAACCCTATTATTACTAACTGATGCACTTTTCTTGCTAGGATTGGTTGATGACCAAAGGTTATAATTAATTCCTTATATCCATTTTGACACTCAATCTCCTGATATAAGAAACTATTAATGAGTAGGTATATACCCTAAAGATTTGAAGTAGAATGGACTGACAATTTCTCATATATAAAAGTTTATGCTTGTAATTCCTTTAAGATTCCTTATAAGATTACCTTTCAAGATAAGTAGTAAAGTAATTAGCCCTTCCTTTGTAACTACAAAACTGCAGCCTGCCAGTGAAACTCCTAACTGTGAATACCTTGCTTGTCCACCTGGTTAATCTAAAACAAGTTGCTTTAGATTCAACTAAATCTATGCAGGTTCTTGGAATAATTTGCTTTTCACTTATTATGTGTAAAATGTCTACTCAGGTAAGGGATGTGAAAAACATGCTGTTCTTTACTATTTGTTTTGTATTCATTGTAATCATTTACATAAGAAGCAGAATGTAGCCACACTGTAAGTTTTGTATTGCCTAAAAGATTTTTCTGGGACAATAAGCTATAAGGGAAAGATAGAGATAGAGTTAATGAGAGTTAAAATGAGCTAGAAGGAAAAACATCAAGAGAGAGGTAAAATGGGCTCAAGGAAGACATCAAGAATGAGAGTTAGAAAGGAAACATTAAGAATAAGAGAGTTAAAAAAAAAGAATAAGAGAGTTAAAATGGGTTAGAAGGCCTGTTTGGATGCTCACCTTCCTAGACCTGGATGGAGGGGGGAGGACCTTGGACTGCCCACAGGACAGGGAACCCTGACTGCTCTTTGGACTGGAGAGGGAGGGGGAGGGGAAGGGGCGTGGTGAGGAAGGAGGGGGAGGGAAAAGGAAGGCGGGGGGGGCGGAAATTTTTAATAAAAATAAAATAAAATTTAAAAATGAGTTAGAAGGAAAACATCAGGAATAAGAGAGTTAGAAGAAAAATATCAAGGATAGAGTTAGAAGTAACTAAAAGGGAAACATCAAGAAATAAGATGGATTTAGAAGGAAAATATCAAGAATAAGAGAAGGAAATCATCAAGAAAATAAAGAATAGAGAATTCAAAAAAAAGAATAAAGAAAAGTCTAAAGGAAACCATTAAGAGAATGTGTGTCTTTTTCCCTAACTCCCCAGATAAAAAACATTTAGTGTGCACTGATAATGTGGAGTCCTTTTTAGTTCTCTGCTGTTTGGAAATGGGCCCTACAGTTGGCAATACCAAGATCTCCTATACCTGTGTTTTAAGAAGAAAGGTGAGGTTAGGAATATAGTTGTGGATAAGAGTTTATGACTGCTGTTTGGGATGTTTTCCTCTTTCCTCCCCCTCTTCAGACATAATAAGTCTTGAACTGAAACAGTGATTGGCTGACTTCCCTGTATTCAACACAATATCAGTCTCTGTGGAATGGTACATTAATGCCACAACTACCTTACTGTGAGAAGTAACTTAAAATGCTGAATAAAAATAAATCATTTTAAAAAGGTGATGCCTATTTATAACCACCAATTAGATAGCTGAATTAGGAGGATTACAAATCAGGGAATAATGTGCTGTGGATCAAGCCCCTGAACAAATACAAACTAATCATTAAAACTGTATTCAATATATTTATGAACAGCCAGGAAGCAGATTCCGATGCTGATTGAGGCTTTAGAAGAAATGCAACTCCCAAAGGGTCAGCAGAGCATGGCAGCAAGTTTAATCTTAATAGGCAAGGCAAGATGAATAGTGAATCTACGGAAAGTGACCATACAAATGCTACATAATGAATGTTGACAGGTACAGTGGTAAACAAATGTATTCTCAGCATTTGGAAGGCAGAGACAAGAGTTGTAATTTTTATTAAAAAAAAAAAGCAATACAAGAGAGAAAGGTGTCATGTGACAGAGCTCAGATAGAGGGATTTTTTATTGGAGTAAAGCGTACGGAAATGGGGAAGGGGGAGAGGGAAAATCAGCCTCTGGAGACAGGAGTAGCAGAAGAGATGAGAATAGAGACAGAGACAGATGGACAGACAGACAGAGACAAAGAGGGAAAGAGAGAGAGATGGGAGGTGGGCAGGGCCTTTTTTAGAAGTGAACATAGTGAATGTGAACAGGAGGAGCTCTTAGTGGCTACAGCTGAGGACTTATACCCCAAGGTCAGGCCAGTACAGATGCCTGAGTACTAACAGCAGGAGGATCAGGAGTTCAAGGCTGGCTTGGGCAACACAGTGAATTTGAACCAGACTAGATTAATGAAAATCTGTCAAAAAAAAAAAAAACACAGAAAATGAAATCCATAGAATTCCATGTTTAAGAGATATCAAAGAGAGAAATTTTCAATAAAAGATCGCCCTTCTTCAGTCCTGTATCTCAGCCAAGTAGAAAAAGAGTATATAGATTTATCATAGGAACAGAAAGGGAAGATACATGAAATACATGGCTCATGGGCATATAGAGAACAGGTAAGATACAATAGGAATGAGAACACACTTTACCCAGGCTTGAGATATAATTACAGGCACAATCAATAAAGCATGTGTGTTTTACATAAACAAAGAGCAAAAGACCCAGAAGAGAGTAACTATTGACAAAATACACAGAAAGCTCATATTCTGCATCATGAGCTCTATGGTGATGCCTATCTAGATTTCTAAATGAGAAATAAAAGTTAAGCTCACAGTTGTTTACTAGATTATTAGAACTTGACATTGTAAGCAGGTGTACAAGCATTTGTATCTTCACACTAGAGATAATGCTTGTGGAAATCACAGCTATCTGACCACCAGGCTTCCTTACTCAGAGCTCATATTTGGCCCTAGTAATTATACCATCATCAAGGGTCAGTTCTACAAAATAGTCAACGTCAACAGAGATCGCTTAACCTGGATGTAGGTATCCTCTCTGCCTCTGGAACTTCACTCCAAATGTTACCACCTGCCCATCGCTAACTCTGTATAATGCTATAGGCTACATTCAAATTCATTAAGTCTGTAGCCAGGCATGGTGGAAATTAGCATCAATTCTAGTGCTTGGGTTGATGCAAGAAGAGCAGAGCTAGCCTATGTAAAATAATCCTTCTTTTAGAAAACCAAAATTAGTAACACTAATGTTAATCTTATCATATGAACGTATTAATACATCTTATAAGGCCTTCTGTTTTCTGGCTACCTCTGTGACAACCTATTTGATAATGTCCTCAGAGGAGAGAGAGGAAGCTATTTTCCTGCAGATTTGGAATCTAGTTGTCCACATTGGTGAAGTCACATTTAGAGCAGAAGTGAGCCAGACCTTCCATGTTCTCAGTCACTGAATGAAAGGTTCCTGAGAAAGTTACCACTGTTGATGCCTCATAGAGTTCTACAGCTGAAGAAAAAGAAATCTAGTGAATACTACAAAGGAAATGATGTGATAAGCAAAAGAAGCAGAAAAGGTACATTAAACCCATATAACATCAGACACAACATTTGCTATGTAACATTTTAAATAAGAAAGATAGATATCTTTCAATAGTAAAAAGACAGGAACA